AAAGGCTCAGTTTGCCTAGGATGGCAGGGACATATGGGAGGGAGACAATGGTAAAGGAGACAGGAGGTGAGTGTATAAGTGCTGCCAACTAGCAAACAGACAAACACAGCACAGTACCCTGCTTTCATAGATAACATACAAAGAAAACAAAAATCATGGGCAAGTCACTCCAACATAAAATTTCCAATTAAATATAAACACAAAAATGTCACGCTGCCTAGGAGACAACAGAACATCACAGTCCACACAAAGAAGCAAGATAAAGCAGGAGAAACAAGGGACCAGGATACAGACCCAAAACACAACCTTGAGGAAGACGTAGCATTGGAACTCCCTGATAAGGAATTCAAAAGAATTATATTTAGGTACCTTCAAAGAATTGAGAGAGAGAGATCAAGGAAAACACTGACAAAATTGAGGAAAACACAGAGAAAACCCTTAAATAATTTTGAAAGACAATACAAGAATAAATGGCAAAATAAATGAAAAATTAGGAATGATACAAAATCTACAGACAGAAATCCAGAAGATTAATACTAAATGTTCAGTAATAGTTAACTCACTGAATGGACAAAGGAGTAGAATTGAATCAGTGGAAAACAGAATTAGTGATATTTAAGGCAAATACCTCAATAATTCTTTGGAAAGGGAATAATCACAAAAAAGATCAAAACAAAATGAAGAAAGCCTAAGGCTTATGTGGGATACCATCAAAAAGAACAACCTTCATGTAATTGGAATTCCAGAATAAGAAGAGACAAATAAAACCACGCAGAAAATTGTCATAGATCTGTTGGAAGAGAATTTTCCTGGTATAATGAAAGATGAGAATATATCCATTCCAGAAGTCCAATGAACCCCAAGCAGAATAGACCCCAAAAGATAATCACCAAGACATATCATCATCAAACTCACCAAAACCAAAGACAAAAGAATCCTAAAAACAGCATGGATAAAACAAAAATTTACCTACAAGGAGCAACCAATAAGAATAAGCTCGGATTTCTTGGCAGAAACCATGCAGGTGAGAAGACAGTGAGATTGTATATATAAAACCCTGAAAGAGAAAAATTTCCAACCAAGAATTATGTATCCAGCAAAATTGTCCTGCAAATATGATGGTGAAATTAGGACATTTCCAGATAAGCAGAAAATAAGAGAATTTGTTACAACCAGACCAACCTCACAAGAGATGCTATAGGGAGTTCTTTGGACAGAGAACCAACAACAGCAAACAACAACTGACCATTAACACACATGATGACATAACCCAGAAACCAACCCAATTATAGAAATATCCAAAGTAAATAAGCCTAGAAGATTGTAAAAAGGGAATCAGAGACATCAATTGACAAATGAAGACAATTGCAAACCAAAAAGAGGGAAAAAACTGTGTGGTTACAGAACTTCTAAATGGTAAGGAAGTCAAGACAACTACAAGATAGAATGGACTGTTCTGAACTTGGGAAGAAATTGTAAATCACAGGGAAACCTCAAAGAAAAGTGATAAAACTTCACATCAAAATTAAAAAAGAGGATCAGTACTAATATTTAGCAAATACTAAAATAATAGCAATGAAGGAAGTGATAACACAATTCATTAACAAAATGGGCTCACCACAGAAAATTATATGGAACAAAGAAATCAACACAAAAAAGCACATAACAAAATGACAGCAACAAACTCATGCTTGTCGATAATTACATATCTGACAAGGGACTTATCTCTAAAATTTATGGAAAACTCCAACACTTCAACAACAAAAAGATTAACAATCCAATTAAAAAATGGGCAGAAGACATGAAAGGACACTTCACCAAAGAGGATATTCTGATTGCCAGCCAATACATGAAGAAATGCTCAGAATTATTAGTCATCAGAGAGATGCAAACCAAAACAATGAGATACCATCTCATCCCAGCACTAATGGCATAGTTCAACGAGACAGAACATGGCAGATGCTGGCAAGGATGTGGAGAGACTGGGACTCATACACTGCTGGTGGGACTGTCAAATGACACAACCACTGTGGAAAACAGTATGGCAATTCCTTAAAATGTTGGAATTAGAAATACCATTTGACCCAGCAATCTCATTACCAGGCATATATCCCAAAGAAGTGAGAGCCAGGACAAGAACAGATATATGCACACCTATGTTCATCGCAGCACTATTTACAATAGCAAAAAGATGAAAACAACTATGTGCACATGAACAGAAGAATAGATAACCAAACTGTGGTACATACACACAATGGATACTATGCAACCCTAAAGAATAATGTAGATAAATGGAAGAACATCCCATGCTCGTGGATAAGAAGATTGAACATTGTGAAAATGTCAGTTCTACCCAAAGCAATCTATACATTCAATGCAATCCCA